ACTAATGCTGGGGTGTATTTCGCGATGTCTGTTAATCACGCAGGTTTAAAATACATGAATAGTATTGGATTGCCATACCGCAGGCCGGCTCATAGTAGACACCGTGGCTGTAGAAGACAAAGGATCTGTGCGCGGCATCAATGCTAATGGCCACGGGGCCATTCTTGAACAGCGCCAACCTCAGCGCCTCGGCATCGCCCGATGTCACGTTGGTGTAGTCCTGGACTTGAGCCGTCAGCTGCGACGCGTTGGCGTGACAGAAGCCGTTCTGTGTGCCCAGAAGAGCTTTCATTCAAGATGTGTAGGGTAATAATAACAATTCTTTTATATGCATCTTTCAAAGCCCCCCCCCCCCCGTGATGCTGTATAAAAACAGTCATAAATACAGAATTGTACAATAAATGAGTCGCAGTGTTTATGTGTGATGATGAGTATCTGACCATGCCCATATAAGCTCCGTAGGTCTCGGTGGTTGCGATGCCTCCGTGTTTCATGATCCACTCGTACGCTCGCCATTCCTCGCCGCCGTCGCAGCCGTTATTGCCGAAGCCCCACGTGCAGTCCACCAGCATTTGCTGGGAGAGCACCTGCAGGGAACCAGTCTGGGGAGGAAAAAAAAAAATCGATTACTTTGATCAAAAACAATTCCTGAAAAATGTTTTATTCCATATTCAAATGGTGAGCTGTGGGAGAAGGTGTGACTGTCACCTTCAAGAAGAGAGCCCCCTCTAAAGCCCCCGTGGTGGCAAAGCTCCAGCAGGAGCCGCAGATGGCCTGGTCCTTCACTGGCGTCACTGCACCTGTGATTAGAAAATGGAAGAAAAAAGACAACGGTCAGCAATGCGGGGGGGAAAAAAATGAAGAAGGAAAAAAGAAAAGAAAAAGCCTATCGGGTGACGTGGATGCACCGTAAAGTCGCCAGTCCAGTGACTCGGGGACTTGGATTCCTCTGTACTTCTGGGAAGGGAAGGGGCGTCCTCGATTGGGGGTCTTTCCCTGTTTGCGACCCCTCATGGCAGCCATCTCCGCCATGGTGCGATCAGATAGGGAGTTGAGCGCAAGCGTGAAGGACAGACCCGCTCTGTTCTTGGAGTGGACGTATCTGCAACGACATGGAACACAAATCAAATCTTAGAAAATGACCACTAGAAATTGCTGACAATTTTTTAAAAATAAAATACACAAATACTATTAGACAAGAGTTTTAGACAAAAATGAAACATTAAATAAAAAAATATCAAATGCAATAAAAAAATTAAAAAAAAAACATCCATTGACAAATACTCCATTTATAAAAGTAAAACGAATATCAGTGTCTGACACACTTAAAATTTTTTTTTTTTTTTTCAACACATCTCTTGCTCCATGCCCCACCCACCTGAGATTGTGGAGAAAAGCGTGCTCTCTCTCCTCGTGCTCCCTCTGGTCGCTGTACTGACGCTGAAATTTGTCTTTGAAATGGTCGAAGATGCGTTGCGAGTGGCCCCAAGATGACGTGTGGATGAGATCTTTCATGGGATTGGCCAGCAAGTGATGCTCCACTCCCGGACCGGGGAATCCTCCGCAGCTCATACCTGTCAGAAAACGTTTTTATTTTTTTATTTTCATCTTTAAGATGAATATTTTTTTTGTTGTTGTTGTTTCGTTCAAACCTTCAGGGAGGGAGAACACCGTGGGGTCCACGTCAGAGGAGAACTCCTTATAGTCCACCAGGTATTTATCAAAATGGGAGCCCAGCAGCGTGTTGTAGCCCATCATCTCGTAGTGCAGCGGCGTGGCCGGATCCACCCGGCCGTTGGCGCGCTCCTCCGAGCGGGTCACCCACAGCGTGTAGGTGTTCTTCTTGTAGCCCACGGTGGTCACGTTCTGCCACACTTCGCACAGGGAACCGCCGTAGTACTCCATCCTTAGGAACTTTCGGAGGAAATGAAGTCAGTCAATCAAGATTCAATGTGGTTATCGTGCAATAGAGGCCAGACACGGAACGAATAGTTCTACAGTTTTACCCCTCCCACTAAGTACTGTGCGAGGATTTTTTTGCTCATCGCGGAAGGGTCCGGGCCCTGTCCACAAAAACCGAAACTTCAAACCAAAACCATTACATTTGGTCTTAAAGAAAGTCCTCTAGCTTCATGCTAAGATATAATGTGAAAAGCCATTGGCGAACGACTGGAAATTAGCATCGATTGTTCAAGCAGTGATAGTTTGCCCACTGATTTAAAAACCATGATAAAGACCTGGAAGCCGTTCACGTCAGGCAAGGCCGCTTGCGTCGTGACGGGTTCGTCCTTGGTTCCGTTGACCTGGAAGCACTTCATCACGTTCAGCTCGTCCTCGGTGGTTTCAGGGGTAATCTTGTACGAAGCCCCCCACGGCTGCTCGCCCCCCAGCTGGTATGTTGACACTTGTCCTGGATTCAATGTTGACATATGAGTTCATATTTAGGTGATATTATTGAGAAATATAAAAAGATTGCTTGTGTTTTTTAAAAAAAAAAAAAAGAACGAAAGCATACATTCTTCGATCGCTTCTTCGTCATTTTCAGCTATAATCGACCCTTCAGCCTATAAAAAAATATTCCCTTTAACTCTATATGTGGCCAAGGTACAAAACATTTTGGCCTTAACTGTAAGAAGAACAGCAAATAGACTCGTAATGAAAAGAAATATTGCTAAAGAAAGAACCTGAAACTATTTTTCCTTTTCATGTCAACAAGATTGCCGGTGTACAGTGTCTTGATTCATCGTCCGCCTTGTTTTGAAAGTCTCAATTTCAATGCTTTGTTTAAGTAGAGACTCAAGATAAAAAAAAGAACATAAAAATGTAAGCGAAATCCCCCCAAAAATTGCGTGTGCTTCACTACACACTCTTGTCAAGGTAACACGGTCACATGAGAGTGCAAGACGATGAGCAGAAAGAGTGTTTCTGTTTCTCTTCGTTCGCTTTGTATGTGATACAACGGCTTCTCGGTTTCACATCCCACAGAGTACAGAGAAACAGTGAGAATGCAGAAGGGTTTCTCACCATGGTAGTAGTCTATACGACTAGACTTTGCCTTTAGGTCAAACCAGGCTTCAAAGGGCTCCCGAATTTCAGCATAAGGCAATGAAATCAGTCCTGTCAAGAAAGACTATCATGAGATAAAGTGGTGATGACAAAAGCAAACAGTGAATCGTTTTTTTTCCCCCCTCACCTTTTACATGATAAGCAGTCCCAAAATCGGGAAGGGAAGGCAGAGCTTTTGGTTCAGATTCTGCAAACAAGATAAACAGTTTTGTTTTTGTTTTTTTGTTTTCAGAAACGATTCAACATTGAAAGTGAACGTTGCGAATTGTGTAATAACAGTGCATTTGCATTCCATTACACGACGATAAGATTAAGTTAATGTTGTTTTGATTCATTCGAGAGCAGAACAGCAGGAATTCATATCTCGTGTAAATAATTAGGCAACAGTCACACGCTTCGCTCGTCACATTGTGTTTTGTGTCAGTTGATGTCGGCTGATGTCAAACCATATTGATAGCTTGATTGTTTTCTGCTTAAATGGGAAGGAAACTTTTTATGAACAGGTTTCAAAGTGGGCTGTGGTGTGATATTTGGTTCCATTCCTTTTTATTTGTTTCCCTCTGTTTTACACAAAGCAATGAGCACTGCTGTTAGTGTTGCTACAAATGAATTTCAATGCAAACCAATTAATCATAACGCTGTCTGCCACAAGATCACGATAATACTTTTGAGTTAAAAAAAAAAATAATAATAAAAACGTTAGCTTCGTTCGTCAAACTACGAAAACGTTCACGTTCTCCTTACCAAAGACAGTCCACAGCAGAACCGCAGCGAAGAAGCACAACCGCGTCATGTTCTGAGTATTGGATTTTTTTAAAAAAAAAAAGTCAATTTAAAAACTCGTAAAGTACATTTAAATAAAACACATAGCTCGGCAATCTGAGACCGACTTGCACACGTAAACAAAAATTTTGCTACATGGTCGTTTATCCTCCAATCAAAAGGGAGTCCGTGAGTGTTGGCCAATCCGATGGAAAAAGGGGGCAGGATTTTGGTGCTGCATCATGTGACTTTTTCTTTTTAGTCATGTGATTAATCTCCAGTTAAAAAAAAAAGAAAAAAAAAACATAAAAAATAAATACAAATAAAAAATATAAGGCACATTATGGCAATTGTCACAAAAAGCTAGATAATCATACTTTGCAGATCTTTTTCTGAAATGTACAGCACAAAATGCATATTAGGTCACGTTTTTATATTAAATTTATTATTGTGTATGTTTTTATGAAAATATATTGTTTTAAATGATTGATTTTCATAAAAACAAATATTTATTTGCAATTACGATTACCCCAGTCACTTGCGGAATTGTATTTTTTTTTTGTTTGTTTTTCTTGCTGTGATGTCAACGCATGCCGTACATTAACCTGGTTTAAGATGGAAGAGAAACAAAACAATGTCCAAAACGTGCAATCACCCGTCGAGTGAAAACCATATCATCCGAAGCACACGTTTATTGCTTGTTATTTTGCGATAAACATGAACAACACTATGTAAGAATAGAAGAGTATAAATATAGGGCAATCTGCACTACAGAGGGCTATTTGAACATTACAAAAAATACAAGCACATTTAAAGAGCACTCATGCTCACCTTTTTTTTTGGTTGATTGTGTCATTTTGAGAGTATTTACATATTTTATTGCAGTCTTGAACATGATGACGTGACGTGATTGCAGAACAACACAAAGATGGCGTACAAGATGAGCTCCCCCCGTCGAGTGAAAACCATATCATCCGAAGCACACGTTTATTGCTTGTTATTTTGCGATAAACATGAACAACACTATGTAAGAATAGAAGAGTATAAATATAGGGCAATCTGCACTACAGAGGGCTATTTGAACATTACAAAAAATACAAGCACATGGTTAGACGGGTTAGTATGGGAATGTTTGACGGTGAGGGGAGTTCGTCGCTCACACATTCTTTCTCTTTTTTATCATCCACGTCGGTGTCCGGTTGGGTGTGCGCAACGGTCAAGTTAAGACTGCTGGCGTTGCCTTCCAAAGTGGCCTCAGCGCCTTCTGCTCGGTCTCCTGCAGACAAAAAGGAGACAGGGAAAAAACGGGAGGCTGCTTATTTGGAACTGACTATTCCGAGTCCGCACATGTGAATGGTTAAGAACTGCAATGATTTTAACAGTACAATAGTAAATGGAAAAAATCATAAGATTCAATTGGGAATGTATTTGAAAATTAGATTTTCTTATATATAGCTAATATGAATCCCAAAAGAAAAAGAAAAAAATGACAACTTAAAAATATGTTGTTAATATATTTGTTTACATTCGTTGGTTTCAATCCCCGAAAGGAAATGACAAAACCGCCCCACTTTAAAATATTTTCAAAATCATATTTCATTAGAAATGGTCTCACTTCAGATGATTTTTTAAACATTTTACGAAAAATCCCACTGCAAATATTTTTTGAAATTTTATAAATGTTATGATGACAGTCATATTTAATGCCTGTAAACTTTCACTTTGGAAGCTTTAAAAATGTGCATTTTAATCCCATACATATGGTCCATTTTAACCTTGGAGAACCCAAGAACCCTTTTCTTCTTTGGAAAATGATGAATTTTACATTAAATGACTGCTATATGTTCACTGAAGACCAAAATATGTGCTTTTTCAAATATTTAATGCTTTAATCCTAATTTAGGATTCGGGCCAAATTTGACCCTTTGGGATTTAAGGGGAACATTTGAGTAGCAGAATTTATAGGGGCCAAATTTGACCCCGTGGGTTCTCCAGGATTGTTAAAAACTACTTTTGCGATTTTATCACTGTATGAATTGCCATCAAAATGTTAAGGGGAGATCCTTCAAAGAATAGTTATCATCCAAGTACTGACTGATTTTTATTCCATGGACAGCACTTTGTAAGCAGCAATGGTTGCCCTTAAGTGCTTTATAAATCAAGTTGAGTTGGAGTATTTGAAAACTACAGTTTGGAATTTTAATTAAAATTCATACTTTTAAAATTGTGGAGATACCATTTCTTAGCCTCTAATTATAAACGATGGGACATAATACGCAGGTAGACACAGTGATGCGCTGGGGACACACACACACACACACACACACAGACGCACATAGGCAAATGCACAAGCACACACCTCTCTCCTGGTCACAGTCCGGAGAGGAGGCTCCGCTGCACTGGCTCCGAGGGCCCAGCAGAGGCGAGCCGTGGGCAGAACCGCACGGCGAGTCTGAGCCGTGAGAGCAGAACGGGCCGCTTACCTCCAGGGCACCGGGGCAGGAGGAGGAAGACGAGGACGGGGAGGAGGGGGAAGAGGGGATGTGCAGCAAGGAGGTCGGGGATGGCGGTGAGGGCACGTCGAGGGTGGCCGAGGCGGATGGACTGGATGGCGCGGATTGAGCGTCTTCCTCCGAGTCGTCGTCGATGCACACCGACACCACTGCATGCACGTGAAACACGCATGTGAGGAACAAAAGCATAAGACTTTGGATTGACCCTCAAGCATTTTTTTGATTTGAAGACTCTTCCCGCCAGAAAGAGCTCGGCGGGCGGCGACGACCACGCTCACTTGACAGGCCGTCGAAATCCACGGCGAAGCCCTCGCCGTCGAGCTCGGCGCCGACGCCCCGCCCTCGAGTTCCGACGGAGCGGCGCTGGGCGTGGATTTCCTCGGAGATGTTCTCCAGGCTGCGAAGGGCGGCGCGGTACTCGGCTTTCGCCACCACCAGCTTGGCCTGCCGCTCGTCCACCTGACGCTTCAGTTGCTGAAAGGAATTCAGGGGGGACATGGAAAATTTGCAACTGCTTGTACGGTGTTATGACCCGGCCATGTCGCAGTTCTCCGATGACACGGCTGAATATTTCTGTACTTGTATTTGTATGCGTTGCTGCTCCACGTGGGTTCATGTAGCGGTTGTTTGAAAATGTATCAGTGCTGTAACATTGACGTTCATTTCCGTCAGGCCGTTTGGTGCATTGCGATTAGGAAGATGAAAAAAAATGTTGGCATTTGAACCCTTTCACGCACCCTGTCACCTGATAACATGAGAAGCTGTCCACTGGAGGAAGCGCTGTCCCTGAAAGGGTTAACATGCGACGTTTCAATCTCTTGAGTTTCACGTCTCAGTTTAACAGTGAACCTCAGCAGGGGGTGGCAAACGACATGATGTGATGAGCAAAGTTCATCAACGGAGGGCCGTTTTGACGAAAGGTGAAGATTTAAACCGCAATTCGCAGCGACGCATTGAATGATTGTCCAGTCGTTTCCTCCCAACCTTTTCGTCGGAATGAGCGTTTTGTTATACATCCTTGATTATTCAACTTTATTTTATTGAATCAACACATTAATTTCACAAAAATAAATAAGGCATCAATGAATCATGTTTTTTTTTTTTAATCCGATTCATCGATTAATTGACAAAATATTGAACAGAATAATCCATAATTAAAATAATATTCAATGCATGTTCGTGAAGCCATTTGAAGAGAAAAAAACAACGGCTAAATTCAGCTATATTACTTGATGAGGTAAATGCCCGATGCGCTGGGCTCAAGAACCCGCTTTGCCCACGACCGAGTGTCAATTACAAATTAAACGGCAGCGAGAACGCAAACACAATTTGCATAATACAAAAGCAAACATTGAACAGACTGTGTGTGGCAGCGCACGCACCTCAAGCTGGAGATAATACTTTGCTTTCAGCTCAAAATACGGCCTGCAGGGGGAGACAAAAAACGGGCAAAGAGTGAGATGGGGGAGGGAAAAAAAAAAACACGGACACACTCCAATCTGACCACTCGCATTCCTGGGCTCTTACAAAAGGGAGTTACACCCCAACAAGAAGCAAGAAGAAAAACATCTGGATTCCATCGACATTGCTTTTCCTCACGAAGCACGCAGACGAAGGCTACACCCGAGTTCTTTTCGAAGGGAAGGTGGGTGGTGGGGGGGACCCACTTTGATTTGGTGATGGAGCGTTTGAGCTTCTTCTCCAGTTGCTTCATGTGGCCGACGCAGGACGTGTAGTTGGCCGCGGTCGACTTGTGCTCGGCCTCGCTGCGCGTTCGGCTCTGCTCGGCCTCCATGACCTGCGCAAACACAGATGTGACGGCGACGCGTCCGTCTGTTTTATCACTCGTGACCTGCTGGAACGTATCCCACAGAAGGTGGTGGTGGTGGACAGTGGAAGGGGCCAGGGGGAGTCTACATATCGACCACAGGTGTCAAACTCAAGGCCGGGGGGCCGGATCTGGCCCGCCACATAATTTTATGTGGCTCGCGAAAGCAAAGCAAAGATTTCGACTTTCATGATGCTTGCTAAAATCTCGACCAAAATTTAAAATTCTCATTTGTAATAAATAAGAGTGATACTGTAAGCATTTTCTTGTGAACAAACCCCTCATTTCAGTCACTTAAACAATAGGTGAATAAACCATTATCCTTGACTTCTTGATATGATTTCAGTCATAACGGCCCTCCAAAGGGAAACTGCAACTAAAATCTGGCCCGGGAAAAAAATGAGTTTGACACCCCTGATATAGACAAACAACTTATTGATACTCACATTCACACCAATAGAAAAATTGAGTCTTCCTGTTAAAACTATTTCTCACTGTCAGAGAAAATCACGTGTCCGATCACATGTGAGATTTAAGTTTTGAGCGGGCGGATATATATAACGGGTTCATTCGACCCAAAAAGTAACAGGGAAGCGCACATATGAGCGTCAAGTTTTGGCACGGCACCCACCCTCTGTGTGGCATGGTTGAGCATTTCCTGCCAGGCCGAGTCAAACTGGCGGCTGTCCTCCTCGAGCAGCCGCTCCTCGGCCAGGGCGATGGTCTCCTTGGCGGCCCGAAGGATCTCCACCGCCCGCTGGAACTCCTGGGTGGCCTTCTGGGCTTCCACCTGGGCCTAAAGGAGGACAAGCGGACAAGTGGACATGTTGCATGATCTCGTATGTGGTCAGTAGAAAAAAAATGGATTTCTGGTGGGAATTTTGCACGTGCCCACGACAAGGCACAAACAGCACTTTTTGTGACTGTCACTGGGCTCCTCCAACGCACGCATCGCTGTCAATGAGACTGTTATTCCCATCATGCCACAGAGCCCACACAGCTGTATCCAAAATTCTGCGGCGTGAACTGTTTCGAATATTTTGGCCCTCTGTGGTTGCCTGAATAAGAAAAAAATTTAAAAAAATCATGATGATTGTGTGCAGTTCTTTTGTACCGGGTAGGAAAACTTTCCTCTAATTTTGTTTTTGTGCCAAAATGCGTGAGAAACATCACTTATGGCAACATTTTTAGTTTTTTTGTCATTCAAATAAAGGGTAAAAGACAAAAAGACATGATTTAATGAAAAGAAATAAAAACATAAAAAAATAAAGAAGTAAGTCAGTTAAAGTCATGTTAAATTGCTCCTGGTTATAAAATAACAGCAATTCATTGTACGTAACATTTCATACGTTATGAAAACAAAACAAAAAAAAAAGCTTCAATCAAAATAAACTCCCTTGACTGCTTGCAACAAAGTCAGTGGGAGTTTTTCAAGCTGTGCAAGATTTGTTTCTTTTTTCCCCCGCCCA